TTAATCTAATTTCTAAAAAAAAAAAAAAAAAAAAAAAAACTACTTACGTTTACAGCTAATCGATTCTTTGTACTTATCAATCTTATCAGACTTTACCGATTGGTCGTGAAATTTTTGTACCGAGTGTCAAATGAAACATCTGTCACCTTGACAGTTCGTGGGCACGTGTTACTTGTTGTTATGACATTAACTGTGTAATAAACTTTAACGATTCATTTATTTTCTCGTACTCTCGTTACACGTAACGTTACTATGAAAAATCTATTAACTATCGAGAGTGTTATTATTCGTGGTAACGCGTGACTCACGCATTCTCTTCGTAAGACTCACGCATGCGTATCGGGTCTGACGCACTTTGCTCCTTTTTGCAAAACAATTTCTCGGCCAATGAACCAAACGGGCTTCGCTCGGCGAACACTTGTCGAGGAGTCCCCGTCACCACGCGTGTTGGCGGCGAAGACGAATAAACATGCGGAGTCACATGCGAAGTACTAGAGAGCGCGCGTGGAGAGATTTTTTCTCCTTTGGGAATATCATGGGAAAATCCCTTATTTTTTTTCATACATTTTATGGAACTCTTTTTTTTTTTTTTTAAAGGAAAAGGAAAACCACTTGTCGAATTTCTTCGTAAAATTTCACTGTCTTAAAAGCTTCTCGGGTATCACGTTAATTAATTCAGTACCATTACCAGTAGGGTGTCAATACCTTTGCCACGTGTAAAGGCACGGAGTAGGCAGTCATAATATTGAACGAGAATTACGTGAATAACATAATCCTATGTATATTACGTATTAAAGGTACATACCCCAAATTAAAATAATAATATAATCCTCGTCGATAAAAACAACTTTGATAAGACAAAAAGTGGTGGTACTAGAAAGTTGTTTATTTTATATTTTATCTCTGCGTAAATTAGTATATAAAAAAAAAGAATCTAGAAAAAGTCCAAAATCCAGCCCCATTTATAAGCAAACTAGAAACCGTATCTTAAAAAATGGCTCGTTATCTCTTATCCAAAGATATTAAATTAATCTATTCGACACAGATAGAACAAATTGCGACCGAAAATTCACCCCTCTTAAATAAATCCTCGAATAATCAGCAAGTATCAATATTTTTCCGAGCAATCCCACTGATCGCCATTCTCTACGATTTTACCTAAAAAGCAAAAAATTTCCCAAACCATACCATACAAGAGTTACGAAAAAAAAAAAAAAAAAAAAAAAAAAAAAAAAAAAAAAAAAAAAAAAAAAAAAAAAAAAAAAAAAAAAAAAAAAAAACCCAAAAAAATAAAAAATGTGTAAATTCGCTAAAAACGCCTAAAAAGAATCTTCTCTTTCCTTAATCCTTACATTATTTTTCCGTCTCTCCAGAATCCACAGAGCAACGACCTTCGAATTCTATGTTCCGCGTCGGTAGCCCGAGGTTCACGAACTCCAGGACTACGATACCTGAATCCAGGCGGTACAGTTATGTCCTCCTCTACTAACAATAATAATAACCGGCGTGGCGTCTACTCCCGCAACTGCGCCAGCAGCCCAAAGGAAATACCGTAAGACCATCTACGGGCCAGGTATTCACATATGCGTACACATATGATATAGTTGTTATGTATCTACACCGTATTGCAGATGTAACGTCTTCGTCGGGAGTAGAAAAAGAAAAATTCGAGTTCATCGACCTGACGAATTCACGAAGCCCAGGCACGTATCACACGTCACCGGAACCTGAGTACGTAACATTGACGATACGTGAAACACGTGGTCACTCGTCTGGGCCTGCCCCCTCGGTCCCCGCCCCTGCACCACGTTCCTAGGTAAGTAGGTCATCGATTCGGACGTCGATCGAGGTTCGCTTACCGAGCATCCATCTCCCTGTACTCCATCTTGTCTCTGCGTGACAAGATCCTATTGACGATCTGTTACGAGCTTTTAGCATCGCCATCTGTATTCTGATCTTCCCCTTCTCCTTGCAGCTTCTTCCTCTTCCGCTTGGCCTACTATCTGCGTTCCACCTTCAGCGCGCCAGCCGATCTAACGGGATCGTGAGTAATCGATGGGGCTGTTAGGCATCGTCAGGAATTACCGGAGGAGGCCGATGATGTCTACGAGCGAGAATCCTGTCGTCATCTTACTCGGAAGAGAGAAAGAGAGAAGCTGGACTTCCATGGACTATTAATTATAGTGATCTTTCATCTCCATTCGAATCGGTCGACGAACCCGAGTGACGTGGCGAAATCGAATGGCTTCTTGAGAACGTTTTAAATTCAAACCGTATGCGTATGTCGTTTGAATGGGACTTTGAAATTCCCTATACGAATGTGGTACCACTGGTAACTGAATTCCCTAGATCTTTTCTATACGCCAACTAGTGTCTTTTCGTCACAATCGATAGCTTTGACGTTCTCAAGAAAACGTCTTTTACTTCGTAAGACGAAAAGTCGGATCTCTGTTCGAGTGGAATTTGACACTCGAAAGTCTCGTAGGTGATGAAAGGAAAGCAGTCGTTCTGGAAGACGTGTTTATCTAGAGCCAAACGAAAGCTCGGACGAACTTTCGATACGATTGTCTGGTCGAGATACCGAAACGCGTTTTTATCTGGAGAAATTTCAAGGAGACTCATTCGGCTTCACGATTATTATAATCGGACGAGAAATCATTACGAAGCTCGCGTGGATGCTTATCGTCATACGAGGACTGAGCGTGACAGTGAAAGTATGAAAAAGTGAAACCGCTATAGGTATATAACGTATAATAGTCGCATATAGGCGTCAGCACTGTATATATATATATATGTATAAGAATATTATTTCTTTCAAACTGTTCACACCGGGTGACTAAACAAGTATAGTTTTTTTTTACGATTTGCACGAAAAATCAGGAACAGCAGAGACAGGGAGAAAGGATCGATGAACTATTTGATAACGCGAGCAGATAAGGGAATACCCCTAGTTAAGTAGCCTTGTACGCTTTGGACCGTGGACGCCATTGGCTTTTGTGAAGCTAACGCTGGTAGCTCAATATTGAATCTGTTAGCCAGATGATAAGGCCTATCGCTCTGTCCACACGCCGAGGCAACCAGCCAAGTTGCCGTCATTTACCTATACTAAGAAATTGATAGGGAGAATCGAGAAGCGCGGAGGTGGCGACACTGCGTATAGATAAGGCAAAAGCGTCACCTTCCTTTTGGTATTTCGAAATATTGCGAGGACATTCGATTTACGAAAGAGACGAAGAGAGAGAGAGAGAGAGAGAGAGAGAAGCAATGAGAATCAAGAGAAACATAATGCTTTGACATTGAGTCGTGGACTGATAATACGTATATTTACACTCAGCTCGCTCAAGGCCCACGAAACCGGTCACGCTTTTGGTTTTCTCTTCCCGCCGCGTCGGAGGAACGAATATCGTTACAATATCGTATTGTTTGAAGAAAGGGAGGTCACGTACAAATTGTTCAGCCGGCAGTCTCTAAGTGTGTCAGAAGAATTTCGAAAATTCTTCATTGAGGTTATCGATGGTAAATATTACAAATACAGTCTTTTCATAGATATAGTTTCTAATGGATAATACCGATAATAATTTTAAATAAGGTTCATCGATTTATTCATCGACCTTCCAGTCTGCATGCAAACAGCAGGGACAATGCAACGAATAGCGTGCATGTGTCGCGCAGCGGTACGTCTGATTTTAATTTTGTATTAAAAAAAAAAAAAAAGATGAATAATAATTCATCACACATATCTGAATTTCTTTGTATACCGTAGATATGCACTGGCAATGAGAAAGCAATTAACAAAAATTAGTATACATCGATATTCCTTATTTAACCTTGCTTCTTTATTATCAGTTTGACCTCCTCGCATATCAATATTAAAACCAATCGTTTTACCTCATTCTCAACAACCCTGAACGTAACATACCAGCTTGAAATTGTATATTCTGTTTATTTAGCTCGACAGCACATAATAATCGGTGTACCATGAATGTCTGATCATTCAACTCTTGCTGAAATCTATTACCCCTGAACTTTAACACTACGGTCTATAGTCTCTTATCGGTATTCTAGTACAGTACGTGCAGCAAGTATCCTACCGACTTTGACTTCGCTTCTATGATGCATAAGAACCTTCCTGGTAATGTTTATCCATATGCACGTCTCTCCTGCATTTTCAAAGCATTCGATCGGTCAGCCCCGGAGAAATGGCTGGTGGTCTCACCTTCAACCGATACATAATTATAGCAGCGACGGTTAAGGTCGCGTCAAGGCGTATTTTTATATCGCGACCACTCATCGAGGTAGCGTGCGAGGGCACGCAGACAGAGGATCCGACTATACGTAGTACGTTGACGACGGGTTACGCACACGGAATTTCACACGGGCAGCAGCAACTGGCATCAGGCTCGAGACAGAGAGAGAGAGAGAGAGAGAGAGAGAGAGAGACACATCATTAATAGTTAGTGTCATCGCTTCACGGTTTACGATGACAATTGAATAATGAATAAAGTCCGTTAAAATTAGTGTTTCCTGATGCGCCGCCGTCAGCGCTCCGACGGCGACAAGTTGAACGATTGCTAATGGTCATGGCGTCCAATTGCCGTCTAAACTAGCCCGGCCGTTCCTGTCTGTTGCAATGGGATTTCATCGCGGCTGCATCACATGGTACGTAAGTCGTCAGATATATTTGTGTCGTTCAAGGTCAGCTCGACCTTACCGAGGCCTCCCATACCGACAGAATAAACACGTCTGGTCTGGAATCGGTCGTCCGGCGACCGGTCGAAAGTCGACTCGGTCGAGTCAGCCAATGACGGCTGATTTGACTAATGCGATGAAAACAACGACACGCGGCACCCATCCAAGGACGCCTGCAGGGATATCCTGACCTAGGATAATGTAGCCTGCATTGTCTTGCCTACTAGAGCATTCCTAGAAGCGTATTGTTATCAGTAACATCTGCGTGATCGGTTTTTAATTTTTCTTCATTATTGACAGTCTTATGGAATTACGCGTAGCGAAAAGGGTGAGTCAACCGAGAACTGGATTTTCTCTGCTCCCTTACTACGAAATCGCAATGGAAGTTTCCATGAAGAAACTTTCTGCTATGAGAATTTAAACGACCCTGTATACGTTTGGGGTCCAGGTAAAACCATCAAGGACGATCATCTTGCACTAAGCTTATATAATCCACAGCCATAAAAAAACGTTCACCCTTTGAATTTCGCAGTATCCGCATTTTCTTTTAACTTATACGTCGTTTACATTATTGACCGGTTAGGGAACTTGCGCCGCATTGAAATTCGACTCTGTGCCGGAATTAGCCGCAAGGGTGAGGTCAGTTAATTAATGAGAATCAGGGCGCGTCCTGTACGTTAATCGTATCCTTAGTAATTTTTCAACGTTCGATATGGTCAATTCGAGAATGGGTTAACCAGTGCCTCTAGTGCCTCTATGCTTGATCCTTGGGCTATAACAGATTGCAAACTCCCGTTCGCATTCAGTATTATTGTGAACGTATTTTCCTCGTATGCGGTTAATAGATTAGCACTTGCCTACTCGTACGTGAAAACTGTACCTACGTGTACGTAGCCATTCGACCTCGACGCACCCAGATCTACGGCGCCAGCCTTACGCGCTAAATCAACTCTTCCTCGTAAAATTCTGATGGCATTAGTACCGCAGATAAAAGGGGCGAGGCAGTCAGCAGTAACCTACAGTGATACTCCAAATCGAGGATACGTGAACCGAGGATCATCGTGACAGTGGCTAAGGAAACGTAATACATTTTTTTTTTCATAATATTACCAAATAACATTTTTTTTATTTCAAAAAATTTCAAAATTATACCTGTGCGATACGACTCTTATCCGTAGTACTTTCCGCTTTGTCGGTTCGACAATTGAAATACTTTTCGATGCCTTCGGAATGCCTCTTATCCCTGCGGGATATTAGATTCTTGGGTAGAGTAAATGGGACGATCTATAAAGATCATAAAAGTCATAAAAATCCTTATCGATATGAATCGTCCCTTATATGAAAACTATATATGTATAACAAGGTTGAACACGTGACTGGGGAAGTTCATGGTCCACAGTTACCTTCCGTAAGACATCTGAGGATTGCCCGAAGACATTTGGGGTATGTCGTTTGCACTACCCTTGTTCAGTCGAAGACAATGAAATTACGTGGAAAGACAAACCCGACATGTATTATCCCGTTATCAGGCGGAAGTGGGAAATGCCTCTTACGTAATTGACCTTCTGCGTTACTTCTCCAGGGGTTGAAAGGAGAAGGTCGAGGTCGCTCGGCTGAGACGTATGGAGGATTGCCGTGGGAGTGAGAGAGAGAGAGAGAGAGAAGGGCGAGAGGGAGATGGAAGATCCTGGAGCCCTTTTAGATATAGGAAGTGGGGTGTGGTC